CCGTGGATCCTCGCCGTACACGTCACCCGGAGAATTAACACATTCATCGCCGATACGACCAATCGATCACGAGCACTTTTTGTTTAACATATTCATCGCCGGTGTAACCGATCCTGTCGACAAGGGAACCGAGTGTTCGCTGCCAATTGCACTGACCGATCCTATGCTTCTCTTGCTACATTCATCTGCTACGTTAACCCTCCAGCTACGGGTAATTTCAGAAACACAGACGAAAGTTTGTACCGATTTATTACGGGGAAGATTATAATAGAATACGACAAAGTGTGATTAAAGTAATTGGATATAAAGAATACATGTTTATCATTAAACCTATGTTTAGTAGTTCGCGATGTGATTCGAAAACGATTCGTTGAAATCCGCTGTGCTGCAAAGTGGATCCAGAAGAAAAATTTAGAGAAAGGAAATTGTAGAGTATGAAACTAAGCTATCGTAGAGGAATAATTGGGTTCAGAGGTCTGCATAAATAAAGGTCGAAGGGATATCTGTACGATTTCAGCTATCTTCCGTAGAAAATCGCTCTACGGCTAATACTTACCTTATAATGCTAAACGCGATGAGTCAATGCGTTAGCACACAACAGATGGTGGATGCTGCCATTAAAAAAGAAACCTATTATTTGTTCAATAACGTGCGTCTCTACGTCATTATCTAGTAGAGGCACGTTGCTAGAAAATATTCTTTCACAGCATCCATCTCGCTGCAATCGTTCACGAGCAATTTAGTAACGAGCATTGACCACCGTGGCATTTAACGTGTCAAACGGGGAATTCCCCTTGAACTTGACGCAATAACCGACGGTTCGTGGCCACGATCCGCTCGGAACGGTTCCTAGAAGGTGTACGCGGTGTTTTAAATGCGCGTCGTGAGCTTCTCGACCGAGAGAACACAATTTTGTGGGCGGGATTTCGCTTGGAACCGGCGACCGGGCATCCTCGGACAGAATCACTCTCGCGACGGATTGCAACGTCGTTTTTAATGAAACAATGCCGACCTTTCAGTCGTCGCGACGAGGATACGTAGGTACTTACATACCGCGATGCGATGACACATCGCGTCAGCGTGTTGCGCGACGATACGGCCGCCTTTTACCGCTCGCCGCGAAACGGAAATGCAACGCCGATTGAACTCGACCCTTCGCGATTCCATTGTTGGACCGACTCTCCGCGTGTCCCACTTGCGCTCGCCGTTGCTTTAAATTAGACGCGGGACCTGGCTGATTGTTCTTGCCTCGGATGTTTCACGGTGTTACGCAGGACACGGGACGCAGGAGTTTTGAAAGAGGATGTATCGCGGCGGATGTGTGTCTACGGTGGATTTTGGCTGTTTGATGTGTTCGTTGGGGATGTAAGTAGCTTCTGGAGTGAGTGAATTTCTAGACTTTATTGGAGCTGCTAGTTTCTAAGATGATACTGTAGTTATCAAGAGGGTATTGTAATTTGCAATCGCAGGATTCGCTATTGGAAACCAGACTAGTTGCTTTGAGTATATTAAGGAACATTGGAGTTTCAAAGTGTATCATTTCAGCATTAAAACTGCCAAGCAGTCGAATTGACTTGATTTTCTTATAGAAACTCTAAGAATGCATCTACTGAGATTTCAAATCATTTGTAATTCAACCTGCGCATTACTGAATCAGTTTCCTAAGTAACTTCCAAGAGAAGCATGGATTACGTTTCCAATAACTGTACAAAAGAAATCAGAATCATTTTGATCCATCCGGTAGGTTCAGTGCTAACCTAGCAAGAAGCGATCTCGAAATATTTGAAATTCGTATTTGAGTCGCCGTATCCTTCTACTTAGACATCAATAAAAATACATTTAGATATATTGAAGATAGAATAGATCGCGATATAAAATAAAGAATTTATTCGATCGAAAACTTTCGAACCCCATTGCACGTAGAAATCTCCGAGCTCGACTCAGCGCCAGTGATGAGTCCATAGAGGACACCGAGAGTCTACCGATATCGGAATCGAACGGTCCGTTACCACCGAGTTGTTGTTATTGGCGAATCAACACGTAATGCTCGGTGCGAGCGGATAACAGGAACGCGACAGGCCCTGATATGGTAATGCCCGTACAACAGCATCCTCGGGTTGCATTGTAAATTTGAGTAAAGACGTTTCGACTGTTACGATAACTGTACGCTGCATTTCGCGGGGATGTTAAATAATATTGCGTAATCGTCGTGGTCGCACGGTATTTGCATACCGATTGCATTTCCTCCGAGATCGTTGCTTGGATAATGACGTAACGCCGCGATAGAGTGTTTTCTCGAAGAAAATTCTTTGGTCCGTGGTCCGCGGCGGATGCGCCGGGGACACGCTGGGCGGTCAACCTTTCTTGCGGCGTCAGCGTCGTGTCGCGCCGGCCCGGCTACGCCCCTCTCTTTCACCTTTACGCAACGATCCCGCGCGAGGATCATTGCGGATCGCCGATTTCCCCATTCAGTTTGACTCACTTTCGTCACCTGAGGAAAGAGTGGCCGGGCAAAAACCGTAATTACACGGTGCCGATATTGCTTTCTCGATGCTCGCCGCCTCGCCGCGCTCGTTGCCTTTTTTCAGGAAACCGGTGCCCCGTAATTGCGTCTTATAACGGTCCGTGTTAAATTGTTTATTAACGCGTCTTACGAGGCTCACGGCCGGCGATGCTCGCGGAGGAACGAATGATCTCCGCGCGGGTATGACTCTATTGAAGTAGGCGAAATAGAAATGCCGGTTTTATAGATTCCGATAAAACAGCGGATAAAGTCGCAACAGCTGGCGAGCCGAGCCGCCGGCGACGGAGGAGGAAAGAAAAGAGGAATGCACCGTTTCGTTTCGCCGAAGATTTTATGCCGGCCGAGGCATGAATGTCAACTTGAAGGCAACTAAAAACGGCCGGGCAGCACTAATAAAATCAACTTAAAAAACGGGAAATGCGATGGAATGTGCCCGATGCCCGGCCGGACTTGGAATCTAAGATCTAAGCCCGGGGATACCTGGACCCGGACCGATGCCGGAGAGATCTTTGAATGGAAACATCCAATTCTCAGGCAATCCGTAGGGATTCGAGCTTGGATCTCGGAATCTAATGAACTGGGACACTTGAATCCGACGATCGTTGAACTAGAGTCTTCGAATTTCGAGATATACGAACTTGCTTCGAAGATCATCAAGATTCGATCTTTTAATATAAGAATCTTCTAGCTAGGATGTTTGTATTCTGGGAACACTAAATTTAGTCTCCTAGATTTCAGATTCTATAGATTCCTTGGACCCAGCTGGAATCTCCGATTTGAAAAACTTGATCTTCCATACAAGAGTCTTCAAGATTGAGTCTATCGTCAGAATTGGATCTTTCGAATCGAATTTTGAACTGTGTCCACTTTTCCGAAGCGGATTCAAGATCGAAGATTCTCAAATACAGCTCCGTAAACCGAGTAACTCGATTCCGCATCGAATTTCCATTCTTCGAACCGACCGAAACTGGTCTGACTCCAGTTTTCACGACAACGTACATGCGTCCGCGCGCGGTCGCCGTTAAACGCGCATTGTTTCGTCCGCGAGATGTTCGCTTAGATAACCAGAAATCAGTACTTACGTTTGGTTGAAAGTAAAATCACCTTTCTATATGATCAAGCCCGGTAACTAACTTTCCAGCCCGCTGTTTCATGTTTGCCTCGTAATTACTCTTACACTAAAAATGACGGCGATGTATGATATCGGTGCCGCTGATCGGCTCGCATGGCTATAAGAGGATTAGAAACGGGGCCCGGCGTACACGAGTCGCCTCTCTTTCGAGCTCGCTTAATAAAATCCTCACGGCGTCCGTAAAAAATCGATATCTTCGCGAGTATC